TTTTTTTTTTTTTTTTTTTTTTTTTTTTTTTTTTTTTTTTTTTTTGTACCAGAGATCAAATTTGGGTCCTTGTGCTTTCGAGGCAGGCAGCAGAACCACTGAGCTAAATCCCTGGCTTAAAAGATTTTTTAAAAAGTCTTAATATTTTTGTTTAAAAGTCACCATAGATGCGCCTGGTGGCACATGCCTGTAATTCCAACACTTGGAAGGCTGCGGCAGGAAGATTGCTGCATTTTCAAGACCAGCCCCGGCTATATAGTGAAATCAAGGTTAGCCTGAACTACAAGGTGAGACTCTGTCTCAAAAAAATAAAAATGGGCCGGGGACTTAACTCAGTGGTTCCGCTGCCTGCCTTGCAAGCACAAGGTCCTGAGTTCGATCCCTGGTACCAAAAAAAAAAAAAAAAAAAAAAAAAAAAAATCACCATTATTGAATTGCTGTTTCCAGTCCTACCAAGGGACACAGGACAGATGCAAAAAACAAACAACTTCCCAAAAAACTGGATCCAGCTCAAAGAGGCTCCCTTAACTCAAATTGGGGACAATTTGAGTGTCTTTTTTTTACTATACACTGCATAGGACACACCATCACTCTTGTGGTACCACCACCATATGCTCAAAACAAATCCATTCAAGAGGCAACTTTGGACATACTGCTATAGAGTACCTGTTACTGGAGTGTTTTCATAGGTGAGCCATTGGAAGCACAATTGCTCCCTCTTCTGGCCAAAGGACGAAGAACGGGCCGGGCGTGGTGGCGCATGCCTGTAATCCCAGCACTCAGGAGGCTGAGGCAGGAGGATCGCTGTGAGTTCGAGACCAGCCTGAGCTACATAGTGAGCTCCAGGTCAATCTCACTACATAGTGAGACCCTGTGTCAAAAAGCAAAACAAAACAAAACAAAAAACAAAAACAAAGGACGAAGAACGGCAAGTGTTACAAAGCCGTCTTACCCGGTCCCCAGCCAAACACCCAGAAGCTGCAGGACAGAAGCAGCAGGGCACAGAGTGCCAGGCCGGGCGCGCCGCAATGAGAAGAAAGGAGCACCTGGCCAGGGGGAGGAAGGAGGAGGTGTGCGCTGTGGCCGTGTGGGGCCCCATCCCTCGCCAGGCCAACCCCCGCGAATGGCTCCGCGCTGCCAGGGAAAAGTAAGAATGTAAAGAAGAAGAAAGGAAAGAGAACTACGTCTTGCGTGCAGGACAGGCCACTGCAACAACAAGGAAGGCAGTGGCATGAGGCCCAATAGCCTCCATCTTTTACATTTTGTTTTCCCGGTACTGGGTATCGAACCTAGGACCTTGCGCTTGCGAGGCAGGTTCGGTGCCACTGTGCTAAGTCCCCGGCCCCTTTGCATATTCAGTTTTTGACGTCAAGACTGGGCCATCCACCAGGACTCCAAACCGTTCTGTGCGTGAATCTCAGCTGTGATCTGACAGCTATTCACGTTGACAGGTCTGGCCCAGCTCCGTGCCCAGTTGATTCGCCATCCCCTGGACTCCTACCTCAGTAACGCAAGTGGCTCCTCTTCCGGGTTGTGACAGACCGGCCCCGAGTGGGCAATGTGCATCCACAGTGCTTCCCAAACACCACAAGGGTTATCATCTGGGCTGCTTCTTAGAGAGCATCCCTGGGCTGTACAAACCTAGGTCCGTAGGCACTGAAAAAAGGCCAATAGTGGGGCCAGGGATTTAGCTCAGTGGTGCCACTGCCTGCCTTGCAAGCGCAAGGTCCTAAATTCCATCCCCGGTGTGAAAAAAAAAACTAAAAAACTTTTTTTTTTTTTTTGGTTTTTTGGTCTCACTATGTAGTTGAGACTGACCTGGAACTCACTATGTAGCCCAGGCTGGTCTCGAACTCACAGCGATCCTCCTGCCTCAGCCTCCTGAGTGCTGGGATTACAGGCGTGCACCACCATGCCCGGGCTTCAGACAAATAAAACATTCTAATTGGAAGAAATAAACTGTCCATATCCACAGATGATATGACTCTCTGTAGAAGTCATAAGAACCCAAAAAAAAAAAAAAACCTACCAAAATGAATACATTTCAGCAAGGTCTCAGGATACAACGTCAGTACACAAAAGTAAACAGTATTTCTATATACCACCAGTGAAAAACCAAAAACTAAATTAGAGGTGTGGTTTTAGCTTGTGGGGAACAGGGGAAGGGGACATTACTGGAACCTCTGTATCAGGTTCTAGTCTCCTGTGAGCCATGACACCACAAGGAGAATTAAGGAACTCTCTTTTCTTTTTTCTTTTTTTGGTACTAGGACCTTGTGCTTGCAGAGCAGGCAGCAGAACCACTGAGCTAAATCCCCAGCCCTGCAAATTAATTAATATATAGACAGAAATGAGATAGACACGAAGCTGAGTTTTGGCCTGTTCAGTGTTGCTCTGGGCAGCAAAGACTCCAGACCCCAGACCCCAAACTTCCCACACCTTCATTCACAACATCAGGAGAAACAAAGTAGCGGATGACTCAGAGAGTGGCAGCGCGTAATAATCCTAGAAGAGTGAGGAACTGCGCAGATGAAGATTTGATTCCTCCCAGGATGTCTCCAGCTGGTGTAGTCCTGCCTTGGAGAATTGCAGCATCCCTGGACCGTGGAGGTCTAGCTGTGACCACAGGAGAGAATGGAGTTATATCGTAGCTGGCCTGTAGGCAGGAAAACTAGGCCCTAATTTAATTATGAAATTATTTTTTTTCCTTAAAATCATGTGGAATTGCTCCCGACATTAGCGCAGTGATAGAGGGCTTGCCTAGCATGCATGAGGCCCTGAGTTTGATTTCCAGCACCACGAGAAAGAAGAAAAAGGAGAAGGAGAAGGAGGAGAAGTCATAATGGTATAGCCCGGTAGTCCCAGCTACTCAGGAGATTGAAGTAGAGATGGCTTGAACCCAGGAGTTCAAAGTCAACCCAGCAACATTAGCAAGAGTATATCTCAAAAGAAAGAAAGAGCCAGGTGTGGTGGCACACGCCTGTGATCACAGCACTCGGGAGGCTGAGGCAGGAGGATCGCTGTGAATTTGAGACCAACCTGGGCTTCATAGTGAGTTATGGGTCAGTCTCAACTACATATTGAGACCTTGTCTCAAAAAAAAAAAAAAAA